TACTTGGGAGGCTGAGGCGAGAGGACTGTTTAACTCCAGTAGTTCCAGGCTACAGGAAGCTAAGATCCCATCACTGCACTAAAGCTTGGGCAACAGAGATCCTGTAGAAAGAAAGGAAAGAAAGAAAGGAAGAAAGGAAGGAAGGAAGGAAAGGGAAGGAAGGAAGGAAGGAAGGAAGGAAGGAAGGAAGGAAGGAAGGAAGGAAGGAAGGAAGGGAGGGAGGGAGGAAGGAAGGAAGGGAGGAAGGAAGGAAAGAAAAAGTCTACCAACCCCAAACAAAAGCAATTGCATGGACCTGACTTAGGAGTTCACTATCTTGATAACAGCGCTAGAGATACTCAGACACTGAGCCCATTCTAAAATAATGTAAAGGTCTATCAAAGAACAGAGAGTTTTACTGTTCTTTTCAGCAATTCCTCATAGACAGTGTTCTTAATTTCCTCATACATATATGAATCAGAACCCCCACCCCGCCATAACCCCTTTGTTTTCTTTTTCCTGGGCTTGGAACAAGAGGCAACTGCCCTGATGACTATCCACAATGACATCAGTTCTCAGTTGTTCCAAAAGATTACAGTGCAATTAAAAGAACAGCAAAATAAGAGAAATGGTTCTCAGCTCTTTGATCTACAGAAATATGCAGACCTCCAAGGTTCAAAAGAAAAATTTTTCTAGAACTCCTAAACTTTAGACATAAGATCCAAATAATTCCATTTCCAGCCTTTTAGTTTGTATCCAGGTATCACAAACTTATTTACAAAGTTTATTCTGACCTATGCAAATAAAATTGGGCATTTTATTAAAACTTCTCTGAATCCATTACTCCATGAATAAAAGATAAAAAATATTCATACTGATGGATAAACACTTTACACAACACTGAATCAATTCCCCTTCACTTCTCTCCTCCTAAAGGACTGGCTTAATGACAGTAGTAGAACCCAAACATGAATCAATCTCATGACTAAGAATTAACTATGCATCCATTTAAGAAATGAAAGTTTATTTCGGCATTTGAAATTCTGTGGTTCTTCAGGAATATAGCCAGATAATTGGTTTTTATTAATGAATGCATCTAACATAATTTCATCTCCACTCCAGGAGATGAGGTTTTTTTTTTTAATTCAGAAGGTTTTATAAGATACAGTCTAATAGTATGAAAGAAATAAAAGCCCATGTCTGTTTTAGTTAACAAGGAAAACAGTGATTTAAATGCTGCACATAAACTCTTCTTAAGATAACGTGGGCATTGTGCTCCCAGTGGTCCACAACATTTATATATAAAAATCGAAGTTTCTCCTCTCCAGGAGATGAAATGGTGTTAGCTGCATTCATTAATAAAAAAAGACTCTTGACTGCCATCTATTCAGCGCTCTTGAAGCATTATCTTTTTATAATAAGAAAATTGGCTGAAAGAAAAGAAAATATACTTGTCCCTTCAAATATAGGTCATACAATCAAATACACCTTAATTCATTAATAAATATGTCACTTGGAACATAAGTTCTAACCCCAGAAGAAAAATGAAAAGCAAGCTTTCTATCATCCTAGTGTTAATAGAATATCCTTACTATAGAGGAAGGGAAAACGGTCTCTGGTCTACTTTAGTTGAAACTTTACAGTAGAGGAAATGATGAACTCATGGCAAATTAGGGTACCCTCCTTAAGTTATTTTTCCTCAAAAAATCAAAGTCAAATACAAGCTTAAAAATTGGAGGCTGGTGTGGTGGCTCATGCCTGTAATCCCAGCACTTTGGAGGCTGAGGTTGGCAAATCATGAGGTCAAGAGATTGAGACCATCCTGGCCAACATGGCGAAACCCTGTCTCTACTAAAAATACCAAAAAAAAAAAAAAAAAATAGGCAGGCATGGTGGTGCGTGCCTGTAGTACCAGCTGCTCGGGAGGCTGAGGCAGGAGAATTGCTTGAAACCGGAAAACAGAAGTTGCAGTGAGCCAGGACCGCACCACTGCACTACAGCCTGGCGATAGAGCAAGACTCTGTCTTAAACAAAACAAAACAAAAAAACTGGAAACACAGAATGAAAGAATAGAGGAGAACACTGGCTTCTATGCCATATTATAGTCCAGAATTAGTTAATCTAATTCAAAGTATCGGCAAGGATTTTACATCAACTTGACCAGGTATTTATCATTCATTACCATGTACTGCCTAAGCACATAAAGTAGCTATGACACAAATACTTTGGAGTTATCTCCAGACAAAGAGTAAAACACAAGAAAAATGTTAAAATCCTATTATGTTCAACAGCTGATTTTCGGAATTTGCACTATTAATACATTATATAAATATATAATAATATAAATTATATATCGCCTACATTTTATTTCACTGTTCAGCTTAATGAAAGTATAATGGAAATGTAAGAATCTGACAGCACTTATTAATATCTGTTTAGCAATTACACACTGGAAGATTAATCATGGATTTAAGAACTTCAATAAAATAGTAAAAGAAGAAATTTAAAAAAAGAAAAACAATAGTAAAAGAGATAGAATCAAGGCATTAATCCAGGAAGAAAAGAATTAGCTGTGTGTTCTTTCTGACCTTGAGTCTATTACCACTTGGAAATTTTTTTTAAGAATTTTACAAGGGGAAAAAAAAGGGAAGAAAAAAGAGATACTCTTAGTTCTGCTGCTGCCTTCCTTTTTTTTACTGTTCTATTCTCCACATCTTTAAAAAATACTCATTAATTTTTCCCCTAAAATGTTATAAATGTGCTTACTGACACAATCTTACTGTTGAGCATCCATGAACTATCCTTGGCCCTCTTCTTATCTACCCACATTCTCTCCCTTGGTAATCTTCTCTAAACTCAAGGATTTAAACATATTGCCTCCATAATGTATAATTCCAACTCAGTCTTTTCTCTTAACTCCAGACTCATAAGTTTAACTGCCTACTTGATCAGAACATCTTATAGGTGTCTCAAACTCAGAACGTCTAAAAATGAATTCCTGAGCTATGCCAACCCTCCTCCAACCTATGCAACCCATAGTGTTCTCCAGTTAAGTTGATGGTAATTCCATTTTTCTTCAACTTGCTGAGGTTTAAAACCTTTAGAGTCATCTTTGATTCAGCCCCTTTCTCTTACAACCCACCTTCTGGTAACAAAATCCTATTGTTTCAATCTTCCAAATACATCCAGAAATTGACTACATCTCATTACCTCCACTGCTACTAGGTGGTCTGAGCCACCATCATCTCTTACTTAAATTACTGTAGGCTTCCCAACAGATCTTCCTGCTTCTTCTACCCTTGAACCTCCCCACATACAGACACACAATTTAGTCTTAATAGAGCTAGCTGCCAGAATGATCCTTTTAAAACTAAATCAGAGATCTGTACCCAGTACAAATCTGGCAATGGCTCCCCCAGCTCTCTTAGAGTAAAAACTAACATCCTTGCAACAACATAAGGCATTTCATGATGGGGCCTCCTGTGGCTTCCCCTTCTATTATCCGTTCCTCTGGTTCACTCCTCCAGGCTCCTTAGTGTATCTACTTGGCCAACTCCCCTACTTTCTGAAGTCTTTGTTCAAAGATCACTTTTTAGTGAGGGCTACCCTGAACTTGCCTTGTTTAATATTGCAACCAGCTCCTTTACCACCAAAAAGAGACAGTAATAAACTACACTTAGTGAATTCATCTCACCTAGTAGTGAAGAAAGTACTAAGATCAGAGGGAGCATTCTCACAAGGAAATGGAATAGGAGATTAGTTGGAACCTTTGTCAAGATCTCAACTATGTTCAGGGATTTAAGGGAACTCTATATGTAAGGGATGAAGAAGACAGGAGATTAGTTACCAAAAAAGATCTATACTCAGGCTCTGTCCGAATCACAGATACACAGCTGTACCATACTCGTGTAAGTGTCTCAAGGGGGAAAAGCCCACACTGAAAGCACAGCAAAACATCTCCTTATCCACACATCACAAAAGAGAAACAGCAAGAAAACATATCCCAGCTCATGCAAAGCATATGCAAATAAATTTAAAAATAATTTCTTAGGCCAAGCGTGGTAGCACACACCTATAATTCTAGCTACTTGAGAGGACAAGGAGAAAGGATCACCTGAGCCCAAAAGTTTAAGACTAGCCTGGGCAACATAGTGAGACTCTGTCTCAAAAATAATAACAACAACAATAATTTATGCTCCACATGCCTGAAATGGTTTGTCTCCAGAAAAAGGGGCTTACTTGAGACTTGATGTTTACATTAAATATATATATATATATATCTTATATATATATCTGATTAGCCAACATCTAACCACCTCAATTTATAGGAAAAAGGACTCCTAAAACTCAAACCTGTTTAGCATAACATAAAGTGACAAATAGAAAACCTTGCCATTTCCAAGGAGAAAAAAATCAATAATTTATTAAAACATGTATTGAGCACCTACTATTTGCCAAACCTGTGACAGGACCCAGTATGGGTTCAAGAGTGTAGTAACCACAGTCAAAATGAGGTATAAATATCAAACACATAAGCATTGTTCCTTTTGTAATAGATTTTTCAATCATGTTGACAACAGCTATATATTTTGGAACTTCCCCCTTAAGTTTAAGCCACATCATTCATTCAACGAAGTTGCAGTGGGCCTCTATTAAGTTCAAACCCTGTAGGAGATGCTGAGGGATTACAAATATAAATAATAGGTTACATTAATTGGGTACTTCCCATGTACCCCAGACTGTACATTACCTCATTCATCAACTCAGCAACTTTATAAATTAAATATTTCCCTGTTTTAGAGATGATAACTATTATGCTTAACTATTTCTCTCAAGCAGCTTTAAGTCTAAAAGTCAGAAAGATATGCTTAGAAATCATATTAATACTATCTGGCCAGCCCTACCTCATTACCACCCAACAGTCTAATAAAAATGGCAATTTATGCACCTACAGGTAAAGAGTCCACATATTTTATACTACAGAATTGCTTTTTTTCTTTCTTTTTTTTAAATATTTTCAGTCTCCATAGAGATTGTCAAAAATTGCCAATGCTATATTTCAAGTCGTTATTGCAGGGTATTGGGAAAAGTTTTCAATCAGCAATAATAGTGCCTTGAATAAACCTCATTGGCTACGATACTGCCACTGTGCAAAGCTCAGAATTGCTTTCTAAAGGATAAATTTAAGATAAATAAATAGCTTGTAGTTGTATATATTCTGTGTAATGATAGCAGTTTTGTAAGAAAAATAAAATGAAAGGAAATAATAGATAATGAAAGCAACTAATGACTAATTTCTAGCTTCTTCCTTTCTACTCTAAAAGAGCTGCTCTGTAATAACTTTACATCAGTGACAAGACTTCTAATTCTGTCCAACTCATTTCTTCCTGACACAAGGGAACAAAATCAGGTGACTTGTACAAAATGAAACACTATTTTAAGTATTTATCTAGAAACTCCTTTGTGGGGTTTTTTTTTTTTTTTGCAAATTCTAAAATTCTAAATACTTACATAGATAAAGCCTTTTTCTACTCCTAAGTCAACTTCCTGCACATTAACTGCACCTAGCTTGGTGAGACAGATGGAGAGCCTGCAAGGTCTACAAACTTTTTGTTTAAAAGGTGGCAAATGAGTTCTACTGACCATCAAAGTTAGCTAGGTTTCTGGGAAGCACTGACCCTGGGGCCATGTTTTTTCACCTTTCAAGGCCAAAGCAGACAATGGAGTCAAAGCTAAAAGAAGAGAAGCCAAAGGAAGATTAGACTTAAACATGAAAATCGGTATCATACAAATTTATAACACAGACAGCCCATCTACCTCCTTTGAGGGTAAGAACAGAAACAAAAACTGAGGATTCCATTTCTGTGTAAAGCAGAGTTAATCTAAGAAGATCATACTTTAACTGTGAGGACAAAGTGGCAAAGTTTCTTGGTAAAATGGAAGTAGGAATATCTAAGTGAACTAAACTATGAACTTTGAACTATTCAGTACAAAGAACGTTCTTATGTACTTTGAGAGGAGTTTGTAAGACCAATTTTCAGAAACATTTTTGAATCCTAGATAAGCCTAATATCAATGAACTGAAGATAATTCAATTTTAAAAAATAAAAGGATTATTTATTACCTCTCTTGATCTACATCCCAAACAATTTTAAGAGATCTCTTGGAAACTAATAAGAAACATGCAAATAAAAAAATTAACTCTTAATCATATGTTCTCTGAATAAAAAACTTTCTTTAATGAAAATGGGCCAGTTGCAGTGGCTCATGTCTGTAATCCCAATACTTTGGGAGGCTGAGGTGAGTGGATCACCTGAAAGTCAGGAGTTTGAGACCAGCCTGGCCAATGTGTCAAAAGGCCATCTCTACTAAAAATATAAAAATTAGCTGGGCATGATAGCACATGACTGTAATACCAGCTACTAGGGAGGCTAAGGCAGGAGAACTGCTTGAACCCGGGGGACAGAGGTTGCAATGAGCCAAGATCACGCCACTGCACTCTAGCCTAGGCGACAGAGCAAGACTCCATCTTAGAAAAAAAAAGAAAAAGAAAAAGAATATGAATGTTACTGTTTAATGAGAATAGATTCATAATTCAGAGATAATTATATATATATGCATAATAAAATTTAGTGATTACTTTAGCCATTATTTATAAGTGAATCTGAGTATTTACAAACTCTACCTTGAGGGTCTACTCTTTACTGATTATATCCTCAGCAACAAGAAATAAAACAAGAGCATCCCATTGCAACTCCAGATTGGCTGTCAGAAAATGAGAGTATGTGAGGATCTAGTGCAAACAAGGTAGGAACTGTTAGAGCCCATGAATATTTCAGAATAATGAAAATGTGTGCCAGATGGGTTCACTTGCAGCTGGCTAACAACAAAATTTCTGACCAAAGCCTAATGCTTCCTTACATAATTTATCAAGCACATTTCAGTTCCCTTCCACTACCACCCTTCTCTTTTCATTCTTTTTTTTTTTTTTTTTTTTGAGACAGGGTTTGGCTTTGTCACCCAGTCTGGAGTACAGTGATGTGATCTTGGCTCATTACATCCTCTGTCCCCTGTGCTCAAGCAACCTCTAATTCCCAGGGTCAAGTGATTCTCCCACTTCAGCCTCCAGAGTAGCTGGGACTACCTTGGCTAATTTTTGTATTTTTTTAGAGACAGGGTTTTGCCATGTTACCCACGCTGGTCTCACATTCCTAGCCTCAAGCGATACTTCCACTTCTGCCTCCCTAACTGCTAAGGTTACAGGTGTGAGCCACCACAACCAGCCTATGCCATACTGCAATTCTAAAGATAATAGTAGACCGTATTATTTCCTTCAGTGGAGATGGCATCAAAATCCTGCACAGTACTATCGCTTTAGTATACTCTACTTAGAACCACTGCTGAAGATCATAGATCCTAACAGATTTAAGCAGTGTGGCAGTCAGCCTCAAAATGACTCTCAATGATCCTTGGTTCCTGGTATTCACAACCTTGTTAAATCAACTACTGCATCTATTAAAGGATTAGGCTGGGCACAGTGGATCATGGCTGTAATCCCAACACTTCTGGAAGCCAAGGCACTTGAGACCAGCCCGGGCAACGTGACAAAACTCTCTCTCTACAAAAATAAAAATAAAGGGCCGGGCGCGGTGGCTCATGCCTATAATCCCAGCACATTGGGAGGCCGAGGCGGGTGGATCATAATGTCAAGAGATGGAGACCACCCTGACCAACATGGTGAAACTCCGTCTGTACTAAAAAATACGAAAAAAAAAAATTAGCCGGGCATGGCGGTACGTGCCTGTAGTCCCAGCTACTCGGGAGGCTGAGACAGGAGAATTGCTTGAAACTGGAAAACAGAAATTGCAGTAAGCCGGGATCACGCCATTGTTCTCCAGCCTGGCAATAGAGTGAGATTCTGTCTCAAAAAAATAAATAAATAAATAAATGAAACTAGCCAGGCGTGCAGGCACAAACCTGTACTCCAACGACTTGGGAGACTAGGGTAGAAAGATCACTTAAGCCCAGGAGGCAGAGGCTGCATTGAGCTGAGATCATGCCACAGCACTGTGACAGAGCAAGACTTTGTCTAAAAAAAGAGAGAGAAAAGGGAAGAGAAGAGAGTGAAAAGAAAGGAGTATATCTATTGAGTCCTTTTACACTTATGTTGTTGAGTCCTGTGAAGCAGTTTATACATCTTCCTTATGTGGATACCTCTGGGCACTTACATGTAGATAATCTACTCCTAAAACAGGATGCACAAACAACAAAATTTGTAATTTTCATGCATAAAAGGCCCAAAGTTGGTCCTGTTTTCATTTAGAATGTGATTTACGTTAACACATTATAGGTTACTAATGTTCCTTTTAGGTATATAAATGCCCTGCTTTCTATCAGATTAAAAAGGTGGGCTCTTTTACACATGAGAATAAGTTTCTCTGAGACTGTTCTCTATATAGTTAAAGGGGCCTGGATTTGGACCCAGAAGAATCTGTGTTGTGGTTCTGATTCTGCCACTAGCAGAATCAGTGCAGTGCAAACTTAGGCAAAGCACTCTGGGAGGCTAAGGCAGGTGGATTGCTTAAGGCAGGAGTTCAAGACCAGCCTAGGCAACGTGGCAAAGCCCCGTCTCTACAAAAAAAAAAAATACAAAAATTAGCTTGGCATGGTGGTGTGCACCTGTAGTCCCAACTACTTGGGAGACTCGGGTGAAAGGATTGCTTGAGCCCAGAAGGCAGAGATTACAGTGAGCTGAGATCACACCACTGCACTCCAGTCTGGGTGACAGAAGTGAAACCCTATCTCAAAAAAATTTCAAGTCATGGTGGTGCACACCTGTAGTTCCAGCTAATCAAGATGCTGAGGCAAGAGGACTGCCTGATCCCAGGAGTCTGAGGCTACACAGTGTGCTGTAATCATGTTTATGAATAGCCACTTCATTCTAGCCAGGGAAACATAGTGAGAACCTGTCTCTTGAAAACCTGTCTCTTAAAAACAAAACTGTGTGTGTGTGTGTGTGTGTGTGTGTGTGTGTGTAACTCAAGCAATACTTTTATTAAGAGATTAAAGGGCGGGTTTTCACCATGTTGACCAGGATGGTCTTGATATCTTGACCTAGTGATCCACCCGCCTCGGCCTCCCAAAGTGCTGGGATTATAGGCGTGAGCCACCACACTACTAAAAATACAAAAAATTAGCTGGACATGGTGGTGCATGCCTGTAATCCTAGCTACTCAGGAGGCTGAGGCAAGAGAATTGCCTGAACCCAGGAGGCGGAGGTTGCGGTGAGCCAAGATCGCGCCATTGCACTCCAGCCTGGGTAACAAGAGCGAAACTCCGTCTCAAAAAAAAAAAAAGAGATTAAAAGACAATAACATGGTAAAACAGAAATATATATATCAAAGTTAAGTGTTTATTCCAAAATAAAACATGTCATAGCAGGGCCCAGTAGCTCATGCTTATAATCCCAGCACTTTAGGAGGCAGAGGTGAAAGGATCACTTGAGGCCAGGAATTCAAGACCAGCCTGGGCTACATAGCAAGACCAGCCTGGGCCACATAGTGAGACCAGGTCTCTACAATAATTTTTATAATTTTCTTAAAGAAAAAATATCTAAAGAAGAGTTCCAGGAATACATTTAATTTCATCATCAACTGCCCAAGGTTGAATCCAATTAATCATGATGATAAAAATGTGGCTAATATTTATTGTGTAATTATCCTGCCAGGCTACATAGTAAGCACCATACAAGCATTGTCAATCAATAGCAGGCAGTTTAACATCAGATTGTTCTATACAGCTCATTGGTTAACAATATTCTATGGTACTACCAGATGACTGAAACATTAGCTGGGCACAGTGGAGGGCACCTGTTGTACCAGTTACTTGGAAAGCTAAGCCAGAAGAACTGCTTGAGCCTGGGAGGCAGAGGTTAGAATCCAGTGCAAGCACTTGCAGACATTCAAACTGGTAAGCTATACAAATTCCACAATGTTAAAGAACACATAGCTTACTATGGCATGCACATTCCTATTGCAATGCCTTATTTCCAAATAAAAATAATTTCTTTTAGAGAGTCTATCTCTATTTGTTATTTAGGTTGACAAACGCAACATACAATAAAGTTGCCAAATTCATTAGCTGGGCATGGTGGCATGT